TGTGGTGTAGTAGGATAGGAAGCAGGTGTCGCGTCGACAGCGAAAAGGACGCGAAACGCAAAGAAGATGGAATAGAATAGGCAGTGTAGAGAGGCCGTGTATAGCTGAGGCGATGGTAGCGCGATGACGGCAATGGGGTGATACCACGTACACATGCCAGCATGCAAAAGTCCCACATGGCCTGAGGCGCCTGCTGCCATGTTGTGAACAGATCAAAGCATAGCTCTGCATGAGCGCAGGACAAGATGTCATCCGCAATGATTGCGTGCCCACACGAGAGCCGTCGCGCTATTTGCTTCGCCGTTTTCGAAGCTCCAGAGTTCCGCGCCCACGGTGTTTGCGAGGTTTTCGAAGCCCCGGAGTTCCGCGCCCACGGTTTTTGCGAGGTTTTCGAAGCCCCAGAGTTCCGCGCCCACGGTATTTGCGACGTTTTCGAAGCCCCATGAGTTCCGCGCCCACGGTATTTGCGAGGTTTTCGAAGCTCCAGAGTTCCGCGCCCACGGTGTTTGTGAGGTTTTCGAAGCCCCAGAGTTCCGCGCCCACGACGTTTTCGGAGCCCCAGAGTTCCGCGCCCGCGGTATTTGCGATGTTTTCGAAGCCCCAGAGTTCCGCGCCCACGGTATTTGCGACGTTTTCGAAGCCCCAGAGTTCCGCGCCCGCGGTATTTGCGACGTTTTCGAAGCCCCAGAGTTCCGCGCCCACGGTATTTGCGACGTTTTCGAAGCCCCAGAGTTCCGCGCCCACGGTATTTGCGACGTTTTCGAAGCCCCAGAGTTCCGCGCCCGCGGTATTTGCGACGTTTTCGAAGCCCCAGAGTTCCGCGCCCACGGTATTTGCGACGTTTTCGAAGCCCCAGAGTTCCGCGCCCACGGTATTTGTGAGGTTTTCGAAGCCCCAGAGTTCCGCGCCCACGGTATTTGCGACGTTTTCGAAGCTCCAGAGTTCCGCGCCCACGGTGTTTGCGAGGTTTTCGAAGCCCCGGAGTTCCGCGCCCACGGTATTTGCGAGGTTTTCGAAGCCCCAGAGTTCCGCGCCCACGGTATTTGCGAGGTTTTCGAAGCCCCATGAGTTCCGCGCCCACGGTATTTGCGACGTTGTCGAAGCCCCAGAGTTCCGCGCCCACGGTATTTGCGAGGTTTTCGAAGCTCCAGAGTTCCGCGCCCACGGTGTTTGTGAGGTTTTCGAAGCCCCAGAGTTTCGCGCCCGCGCCCACGGTGTTTGCGAGGTTTTCGAAGCCCCGGAGTTCCGCGCCCACGGTATTTGCTAGGTTTTCGAAGCCCCAGAGTTCCGCGCCCACGGTATTTGCGACGTTTTCGAAGCACTAGAGTTCCGACACGCACGATCCCCGCAGAGTGGTGCATCGCGCTGGCCGCGGCGAAACCCACCCCAGCTTAAGAAATAAGAGAGAATTTAATAGAGGAGGTGATGTGTGGAGTGTGGTGATTGGAGTGTGGTGATGGTAGTGTGGTGATTGTAGTGTGTGTGTGTGGTAGGAGTGTGGTGATGGTAGTGTGGTGATTGTCGTGTGGTGATGGTAGTGTGAGTGTCTGGTAGTGCGAGTGTGTGGTAGTGTGGTAGGGCTAACGTTTTTGTTTCTCCGAAGAACCCTTCGCTGAAGCTTTCGGGAAAAGTCGACTTTCGCGCCACGGCAGCTCCGGGCGTCCGCGGCGTACTACGTTTGTACTACAAAAAGTCGACTTTCCAGCTACGGCAGCTCCGGGCGTCCGCGGCGTACTACGTTTGTACTACAAAAAGTCGACTTTCCAGCCACAGCAGCTCCGGGCGTCCGCGGCGTACTACGTTTGTACTACAAAAGTCGACTTTCCAGGAGAGGAAGAAGAAAAGAAGAGCAGAGGAAGAGGAGAGGAAGAGGAGAGGAAGAGGAGAGGAAGAGGAGAGGAAGAGGAGAGGAAGAGCAGAGGAAGAGGAGAGGAAGAGGAGAGGAGAGGACGAGGAGAGGAAGAGGAGAGGAAGAGGAGAGGAAAAGGAAAAGAAGAGGAGAGGAAGAGGAGAGGAAGAGGAAAAGAAGAGGAAAAGAAGAGCAGAGGAAGAGGAGAGGAAGAGGAGAGGAAGAAGAGAGGAAGAGGAGAGGAAGAGGAGAGGAAGAGGAGAGGAAGAGGAAAAGAAGAGGAGAGGAAGAGGAGAGGAAGAGGAGAGGAAGAGGAGAGGAATAGGAGAGGAAGAGGAGAGGAAGAGGAGAGGAAGAGGAGAGGAAGAGGAGAGGAAGAAGAAAGGAAGAGGAAAAGAAGAGGAGAGGAAGAGCAGAGGAAGAGCAGAGGAAGAGGAGAGGAAGAGGAGAGGAGAGGAAGAGGAGAGGAAGAGGAGAGGAAGAGGAGAGGAAGAGGAGAGGAAGAGGAGAGGAAGAGGAGAGGAAGAGGAAAATAAGAGGAAAAGAAGAGCAGAGGAAGAGGAGAGGAAGAGGAGAGGAAGAGGAGAGGAAGAGGAGAGGAAGAGGAGAGGAAGAGGAAAAGAAGAGGAGAGGAAGAGGAGAGGAAGAGGAGAGAAGAAGGAGAGGAAAAGAAGAGCAGAGGAAGAGGAGAGGAAGAGGAGAGGAAGAGGAGAGGAAGAAGAGAGGAAGAGGAAAAGAAGAGGAGAGGAAGAGGAGAGGAAGAGGAAAAGAAGAGCAGAGGAAGAGGAGAGGAAGAGGAGAGGAAGAGGTGAGGAAGGGTCCGACACGCACGATCCCCGCAGAGGGTGCACGACCACGCTTGAAAATACGCAAAAACGCACAGCGGGAGCGCTCCGACACGCACGATCCCCGCAGAGGGTGTGCGAAGCAAGTTGTGCAATGCGCAAAAACGCACAGCGGGAGCGCTCCGACACGCACGATCCCCGCAGAGGGTGCGCGGGCGCAAATCCAGATGCGCAAAAACGCACAGCGGGAGCGCTCCGACACGCACGATCCCCGCAGAGGGTGTGCGAAGCAAGTTGTACAATGCGCAAAAACGCATAGCGGGAGCGCTCCGACACGCACGATCCCCGCAGAGGGTGCGCGGGCGCAAATCCACATGCGCAAAAACGCACAGCGGGAGCGCTCCGACACGCACGATCCCCGCAGAGGGCGCGCGGGCGCACATCTAAATGCGCAAAAACGCACAGCGGGAGCGCTCCGACACGCACGATCCCCGCAGAGGGGTGCATCGCGCTAGCCGCGGCGAAACCCACCCCAGCCTAAGAAATAAGAGAGAATTTAATAGCGGAAGTGATGTGATGGTACTGTGGTGATGGTAGTGTGGAGATTGGAGTGTGGTGATTGTAGTGTGGTGATGGTAGTGTGGTGATGGTAGTGTGGTGATTGGAGTGTGGTGATTGTAGTGTGGTGATGGTAGGTTGACGTTTTTTTTCTCCGAAGAACCCTTCGCTGAAGCTTTCGGGAAAAAACTTGATTTGATGGGTGTCTCAGCGCCACAGAGGTAGTTCCATGCTCTCTCCTCACGCAAAAAGACCTGTAGAACGACCCCGCCACCGGGATGTAATTTGTGTTCCGAGAGCCCTGCTTGCTTCATGTTTCTTAATCTTCTCATGCGGTTTCTGGTCAAGGCTTGTGGCACAGGTGGTGGATTTCCTGTTCATCTCTTTCGCTCTGCGGTCACTTTAGGTTGGTCTCAGTGCCGAGAACCGCGGTGTTGACAGCTTGTTCACGGGTCCTTGTTGGGCTCTGTTTAGAGTGACCTTCGTGATTAAAGACCGCCCTAAAACCCCCTAAAACCGCCCTAAAACCGCCCGAAAACCCCCCTAAAAACCCTCTAAAACCCACCGAAAAACCCCTCTAAAACCCTCTCCTTCAAGCCTGGGCCTGCCAGCGCAGGCCCGGCGCAGGAGACGGGGCCGAGGGGAAGCGCCGAGGCATGGGCTCAAAAGCTCCTCCTTCAGGGGGTTGAGGTTTTAGGGTGGTAGGCTTCGCGGTTTGGGGTGGTGGTGGGGTTTAGGGTTTGGGGCTTAGGGGCTTGCGGGGGGGTTGGGGTTCAGGGTGGCAGGGTTTAGGTCCCTTACGGGCCAGGGATTAGGGCCCGCAGCTTGCTAGGCAGGGGGTGGAAGGGAACTTGGGCTCGGCGAGCTAAGAAAGGATGGCTGCATTTGTTTCAGCACCTGACGCGCGGCGATTGCGGCCCAAGCTCGCCTTGTGATCACGCAGACGCCCGCGCGCTGCAGCTTTAGCAGACGCTAGTTTCGAACCATGGCCTTGCCAATGAAGACCGCCATGAAGAAGGCTTCCCTACACACCTACACTAAGGCTTATGACCCTTATACCAGAAAGCCCTTTGTGCCCGCCTAGAATGATTCTCGGTGGAAGGTTCCAGCCCCAGAGTTGCAAAGGGTTCTATCTCCCTATGGTGCGGTTTCTTGGATCTTAGTTAACTTGTTTAACTTTGTCCCTTCGTACACCATCAATCTCATGATAGCCTAACCGCCAAAGAGTCCACGCATTGGAAGGGGTAGGACTCGTGTGGCTTCTTGATGGCACGATTCTTATGTCGGGTTCTTACTGGCTTGGAAACAGGCTTCTTGCCTCAGAGACGGTTATCATTTTCCTATCTTTTCCTGACCTTAGATTCCTTGCTAGATCTCCTGCATGGGCTTGTGGAGCACGGCCGTTCAAGATACCGAGCCGTAGGGCATCATCGGCTGGCTTTCGGGTCCCAAAATCTTCGGCCCCTGAGAGCCCCGAATCTGCGAGGCCATGAAGGCAAGCGCCATGAAGGCCAAGGCCATGAAGAAGCCCATGAAGGAGGGGCTTGGGGGTTGTGGGAGGGTTCGCGGCCTTATGCCCGAAAAAGAATCACAAGATGCGCCTTTGAGATCTCGACTAAGCCCCATAAGCATCAAGTTACAGGGAAAGAAAAAAAGCCAATGTAGGGAGCTTGGGGCTCATGCAGTCCTGCTGGAAATGCCCGGACTGGAAGGCTTAACCCTCATTCCGGTATTAGGGGGCGCTAGTTCCTTCATCAGCCTTAAGCAACAGCGAGTACCCTGTGCATCCAGCAAGTCTTCATCAGGCAATGAAGAAGAAGGCAGTGTCGAAGATCGCTACGGGCAGGCTTGCGAAGTCTCGAGTCTTCAATGGCGCGAAGGCGGGGACGGCTGAGAGCTCACGGTTCTGATACAGACGCGAGTCGCAGCACATGCAGCATTCGTGATGTCTCGTCTTCTAGCAAAGCAGCTTCCGGAGGAACGATCAGAACCTCATCGCATGTGATAGCAGCTACCGGGTACCGGTTTAGGCCCGGGCAAAAACCTCTAGTTCAGCCTCGCCTCGCCCGATCAGGAGAAGACTACGGGTGGTCTGCAGAAGGCCAACCTGATGAAGAACAAGCGCGGCAAGGTCGTCAGCAAGAAGATGCACGCCAAGGGGAAGTCAATCCAGAAGTTCGTGCAGGGCTGGCTCAGCGCAGTCGCGACGGCCAGAAAGGAGCTGGGCATCAAGGGCTTTTGTGTGATCGGCGGCAAGAGCGCTCAGGGGAAGGCGCTCTATGCCAAGGCCAAGGCGATTTATGCGGCGTGAGGCTTCCAAGGGGGCAGGCCTGCTTTCGTGGTCGTTCATGGAGCAGGCAACCCGTGAACCTCAGCCGACAGGGTGATGTACAGGTGCCTCTGCCTTTGAAAAATCGCAGAGGCCCATGATGTCCTTGCGATGCATTGTTCGGTGCAGGCAGTGAGAAATGGTGCTTAGCTGGGACGTTGCGGTTATGTTGCTGTGCCTAACAGTCTAACGTACGAGTTTGCTGCAGTGCACCCCGTCGTGACCCCCGCCTGCAGCCAAGATCCCAGATTCGACTCCTTAAGCCCGAGCCCTGACACCCTAAACCCCAAATCTCCATGAACCCACGAGCCCTGACTCTAAACCCTTAAGAGTCAAATGGAAGCCTTACAGTTAAAGTGGCTGCAGGCGCAGCTCCAGGCATCGGCTGACAAGGTCACCGGCCGGAAGGCGTTCGGCCCTCTGGAAGGTGCTGTTTGTCTGTTTTGTCAGTTTTGTCTGTTTTGTTTGTCTTGTTTGTCTTGTTTGTCTTGTTTGTCTTGTTTGTTTTGTTTGTTTTGTTTGTTTTGTTTGTTTTGTTTGTTTTGTCTGTTTTGTCTGTTTTGTTTGTTTTGTCTGTTTTGTCTGTTTTGTCTGTTTTGTCAGTTTTGTCAGTTTTGTCTGTCTTGTTTGTCTTGTTTGTCTTGTTTGTTTTGTTTGTTTTGTTTGTTTTGTTTGTTTTGTTTGTTTTGTTTGTTTTGTTTGTTTTGTCTGTTTTGTCTGTTTTGTCTGTTTTGTTTGTTTTGTCTGTTTTGTCTGTTTTGTCTGTTTTGTTTGTCTTTGTCTGTCTTGTTTGTCTTGTTTGTCTTGTTTGTTTTGTTTGTTTTGTTTGTTTTGTTTGTTTTGTTTGTTTTGTTTGTTTTGTTTGTTTTGTCTGTTTTGTCTGTTTTGTTTGTTTTGTCTGTTTTGTCTGTTTTGTCTGTTTTGTCAGTTTTGTCTGTTTTGTTTGTCTTGTTTGTCTTGTTTGTCTTGTTTGTCTTGTTTGTTTTGTTTGTTTTGTTTGTTTTGTTTGTTTTGTTTGTTTTGTTTGTTTTGTCTGTTTTGTCTGTTTTGTTTGTTTTGTCTGTTTTGTCTGTTTTGTCAGTTTTGTCAGTTTTGTCTGTTTTGTTTGTCTTGTTTGTCTGTTTTGTCTGTTTGTGTCTGTTTTGTCTGTTTTGTTTTGTCTGTTTTGTCTGTTTTGTCTGTTTTGTCTGTTTTGTCTGTTTTGTCTGTTTTGTTTGATGTGTTTGTTTTGTTTGTTTTGTTTGTTTTGTTCGTTTTGTTGGTTTTGTCTGTTTTGTCTGTTTTGTTTGTTTAGTTTGGTTTGTCTGTTTTGTCTGTTTTGTCTGTTTTGTCTGTTTTGTTTGTTTTGTTCGTTTTGTTGGTTTTGTCTGTTTTGTCTGTTTTGTTTGTTTAGTTTGGTTTGTCTGTTTTGTCTGTTTTGTCTGTTTTGTCTGTTTTGTTTGTTTTGTTCGTTTTGTTGGTTTTGTCTGTTTTGTCTGTTTTGTTTGTTTAGTTTGGTTTGTCTGTTTTGTCTGTTTTGTCTGTTTTGTCTGTTTTGTCTGTTTTGTTTGTTTTGTTTGATTTGTTTGTTTTGTTTGTTTTGTTCGTTTTGTTGGTTTTGTCTGTTTTGTCTGTTTTGTTTGTTTTGTTTGGTTTGTCTGTTTTGTCTGTTGTGTCTGTTTTGTCTGTTTTGTCTGTTTTGTCTGTTTTGTCTGTTTTGTCTGTTTTGTCTGTTTTGTCTGTTTTGTTTGTTTTGTTTGTTTTGTTTGTTTTGTTTGTTTTGTTTGTTTTGTTTGTTTTGTTTGTTTTGTTTGTTTTGTTTGTCTTGTTTGTCTTGTTTGTCTTGTTTGTCTTGTTTGTTTTGTCTGTTTTGTCTGTTTTGTTTGTTTTGTTTGATTTGTTTGTTTTGTTTGTTTTGTTTGTTTTGTTCGTTTTGTTGGTTTTGTCTGTTTTGTCTGTTTTGTTTGTTTAGTTTGGTTTGTCTGTTTTGTCTGTTTTGTCTGTTTTGTCTGTTTTGTCTGTTTTGTTTGTTTTGTTTGATTTGTTTGTTTTGTTTGTTTTGTTCGTTTTGTTGGTTTTGTCTGTTTTGTCTGTTGTGTCTGTTTTGTTGTTTTGTCTGTTTTGTCTGTTTTGTCTGTTTTGTCTGTTTTGTTTGTTTTGTTTGTTTTGTTTGTTTTGTTTGTTTTGTTTGTTTTGTTTGTTTTGTTTGTGTTGTTTGTTTTGTTTGTTTTGTTTGTTTTGTTTGTTTTGTTTGTTTTGTTTGTTTTTTTTGTTTTGTTTGTTTTGTTTGTTTTGTCAGTTTTGTCTGTTTTGTCTGTTTTGTCTGTTTTGTCTGTTTTGTCTGTTTTGTCTGTTTTGTCTGTTTTGTCTGTTTTGTCTGTTTTGTCTGTTTTGTCTGTTTTGTCTGTTTTGTCTGTTTTGTCTGTTTTGTCTGTTTTGTTTGTGTTTGTTTTGTTTGTTTTGTCTGTTTTGTCTGTTGTGTCTGTTGTGTCTGTTTTGTCTGTTTTCTCTGTTTTGTCTGTTTTGTCTGTTTTGTCTGTTTTGTCTGTTTTGTCTGTTTTGTCTGTTTTGTCTGTTTTGTTTGTTTTGTTTGTTTTGTTTGTTTTGTTTGTTTTGCTTGTTTTGCTTGTTTTGATTGTTTTGTTTGTTTTGTTTGTTTTGTTTGTTTGTTTGTTTGCAGGGGAAAAGAAAAGCACTAGGACTCAAAAACACCTAGGGACCCAAGTCCCTCAACCCTAAAGCCCCAAACCCTTCCCATCCCGGCGGTGGGTTGAGGCCGAGGGTTTAGGTCCTCAAGCCGGGTTTCGGGTTGAAGGTTGGGATGTTCCCCCTCTCCAGCAAATTGATCGCCTGAACCTAACTGCGAAGCCCGAAAGGCCCGAAAGGCCCGAAAGGCCCGAAAGGCCCGAAAGGCCCGAAAGGCCCGAAAGGCCCGAAAGGCCCGAAAGGCCCTGAACCTCCGATTGCTTATCGCCCATAGCCCCTTGTAGGGTTCCAAAGCCTAGGCTACACCCTACACCCTAAACCCCTAAACCCCTAAACCCGAAACCCGAAACCCTAAACCCGAAACCCTAAACCCTAACCCCTAAACCCTAAATCCCTGAACCAGCGGTGGCGGAGGCAAAAGCCTTGGCAGAGGCCAGCCCCCAAACAGGGGGTTTGGGGTGTAGGGTTTGATTCTGGCTTCGGTTTCCTTACTAGTTCTGAGTAGAGAATGAGGGGTTTAGGGCCCCTCTCTACTCCCTTGGGGATACAAGCCACAGAATTCAAAGTTTCCAGGTTTTGCTGCTTGTTGGCTGTTGGCGTGGCGACAAGCGCAGTTCCGCTAAAACCACTCACGCCGCGGTTCTCTGATGCCCCAGTTCCTACGCTCTCCGACCCCAAACTCCAAGCTCGAGATGTTCCCCTTTGGGGTAGCAGGGCTTCTGATGAGTGCTTTCCTTGCAAGCCCATAAGGGGGAGACTCAAGACTCAAGACCCCAAACCCGAAGTCTCCGAGCAGGCCCAACGCCGGCCGTTCCTGGTGTACCAGCCGCGCACCCGGTGGCCCTTGAAACTATTAGGGGTTTAGGGTTTAGGGGTTTGGGGTTTAGGTTTTTGAGTTTAGGGTCACTGACCCTGAAGCCCCGAAGAGGGTGGAAGCGCAGACAGGACTTGGCCAGGTTGCGCGGTGCTTGCAGGATCAGCTGTACAAGCCCATCCCGACGAGTACTGTGTTACCTAGCCTCTAGCCATGGCGTACACAGGAACCTTGAAGAAGTTCATGGATGGAAAGGGCTTCGGCTTCATCGAGAACTCTGATGGTTCTGGCGATGTTTTTGTGCACTTCTCACAGCTGACCAACGGTGGCTCCGACGACATGATTGTCGGGACAGAGATGACCTTCGACATCGAGGAAGATGCTCGAAGTGGCAAAACCAAGGCCACCAACGTGACCTTGTCGGGCGGCGGCAGTGGTGGCGGTGGTGGCGGTGGTGGCTATGACTCCGGATACTCCAGCAAGGGCAAGGGCAAGGGCAAGGGCAAGCGCTACGACCCGTACTGAGCGTGCCCGGTGACTTCGGACTCGTCAGGCTGCGGCGGCGCTGCCCGCGACGTCAGCATCTTATGAGCTGGGCAGCCAATCTTCTCAAGCTTCAGTTGAGAAAGCAGCTGAGGCGTTGTTCCCGTGTTTCCGAAGACACACGCAGATCTGACTAGGATGGGCGCAGTATTCGAGTCGAGGTGCAGGGGCATAAACAGCGCCTGCCTCTGTTGCGAAGCGCAAGTCTGTGCATGGCATCCACTAGGTGCATGGAGGCCCAAACTCAGCAGCTTGACTCTTAACACCCTTGGATCCCACCACTCTTAAAACCCTTGGATCCCCCACCCTAAAAGTGCCGCATCCTCAGTGTCCAGGTCGCGCGTGGCCGCCGCGCACGCGGAGCCGGACAAGCCTCCCTGGCATGTCGGTCGTCCTCCAGAAGTCCTCTAGGAATCCTGGAGGGTTCTGATTCAGGGCTTCGGGTTTTTGGTTCATGAAGCTTCCGGCACCCGGGCCCCACTACGAGATTTGTTGATTTGGTGAAACGCCAATTAGGCACCTCATGGGTTTCTGTTGTCCGTGGCCCCCATGGGTCCCCGACGCACTAAAACCTTGGAAGCACTCCCAGGCCCTTCTCGAACAGAATTTTGGCTCTGCCTTCAGCACACGAGGCCATAGAAGAAGAGTCATGATTCGAATCAGAGCCCTAAGAGCCCACCAAAGCCCCAAACCCTAAAGTCCTTAAAGCCCTTGTCAGGACTGGACGGAAGGATGGATCGGGGCTTCCGCTCCAACCGAACCCCTTCATCTCCAAGCCACCAGCGGGTCCGCGAACAAGACGCCCAAAAAACAAAAGCAGGGGAGTCAGTGCCTGAAGTCCAGGGTCTGCAGGATCTAAGGTTTAAATCTCATAATTGCCATCCAGTTATTCATAATAGCAACATCAGAGTAGAGCAAGAAAGTTGAAACAATGAGAGTAAGACAAACGAATTCAACATAAGGATAAGAATAATAAGTCTCCAGAAAATATGCTTCGGGAGGGGCTGACGGCCTCGAGTGCTGAGAATGTAAAAGCTCACCATTCGGGCGGATTCGGGGCCCCGTGAAAGGGAAATTTGAAGTGGGGAAACCGATGCGGGTTGCTCTGAGCCCAAAATCTTCAAGTCAATAGCCCTAAGTTCTTCTGACATCTCTGACATCTCTGTATCCCAGAATCCCTGTAGACCCTAAACCATCCTAAACCTAGACCCTCTGGTCCTTGCTGCTGCAGCTGTAGCTTTTACTAGGGTCTCGGATGTGTGGCTTGGGCCCATGGCATCTGATCCATTTGATTCGCACTCTTCCCACAGCCTAGACTCTGCTTTCTCCAGTAGTGCCAAATTACATTGTCAGAACAGTGTGCTTTGTGGATTACCTGTACTTCGCGGGCTCACTCACGTGTGCTTAGTTCTTTAGCAGCTCCAACGAGAGCTGCTAGGTGAAGGCCATTGAATGCCATCCATTTGATACGTATCGCTTCTTCAGTTATCACGGCCTTTGAGCAAGATGATGCCGCCAATATGGACATGTCCTAAATACATCCGTAGCCTAAACCCTTCTGTTCCAGTGCAGACATTCAGAAGGCAAGGTAAGCCACAGAGCATCCCTGGCAAAATCGTTGCCATGGGTGGAGGGCCTCTGTGCACCTGTTGAATCGGGCCCCCCGGCGCGCATTCGCCCTTCTTGCTTTCCTCGTTCAGGGCTCTAAAGGGGATTAGGGTTTAGGTATCGTTTAAGTTTTGGGTTCAGGAGGTTGGGGTGGGTTTGTGGTCATGTATGGCTGCTGGCTTCTACGGAGACTTTGGCCACTACACGTACGAGCTCCGAGATGTTTGGATCGGGCACAAATGGAAGAGGGTATCCAGGGGCCCCCAAACCTGAACTCCAAACAGAGGTACTCGTAGTGAGATACACTCGCGCCAAGGGAAAAAGACCAGTAAGGCTTGTGGCCCCCAGGGCCTTCACCCTAACCCTATGCGTTTGGGGTTCGGGGGGCTCTAAAAGCCCTGGCCCCCAAGACCACGAAACCCTCAGTCAGCCTTAGCTTCGGGCTGAAGGGCTCCTGTGAGCCAGCGCGAAGACCTTATAGCCCAAAAGGGGTGGAGCGAAAGCCTGAACTCCCTTAAAGGGGCAAAAGGAGGGACGCCTAGAAGGGACCCTTAATCTTATTCCCTATCTTACCCCTATATAGACCGTATATAGTCCCTATATACCTAGGAAGCCCCCAAATAACCCCCTAAGTAACCCCTAAGGGTCCCTCAAAAGGGTCCCTCGCTTCGTCCCTTAGCCCCTAAGCTCCCCAAGCCCGAGCTGCCGAGGGCCGATGGCTGGTTTCACCCCGCCTCGCCGGCGCCGGCTGCGGTTAAGGCACCCTGTCTGGATCGACCCCGCAAGCCCAAAGCCCCGAAGCCACCAAGGATGCCAAAAACCCGATATCCTAAACCTGCAGTTGCGGGGCTGTGATCCTCTGGGCGCGGCGTTGAGGTTTCAGGATGTTTCAGGAACCGCAGCCCACTCTTGAAGCCCTGTACGCCGCAAAGGGTCCACAAAAGCTGTCTAAAGTCTAACGCCTCTTCAAGCCCCCACAGCCAGGGCCAGAGCACGTGCCTGCGAGTTGAAGTTGGAGAGGCCGCGAGGGTCAGGGTGGGTGTTGCGACTTGGCACACACTCACATGAAGGCAAACTGAGCGGTGCCAACTCTTGGCGTTCAGAAGCTCACAGCCGTGTCTTTGAGCTGCAGGCCAACCTTCAGCCCGCAGCCATCTGGGGCCGGGGGCGATCTGCAGCGGCATGTTGAGTGAGTTTCGGAGGCATCCAAGAACCACCTATCTGGGCACATCATCCCCGTATGATCTCGAGGCAAATCATCATAGAAGCTCAACCTGTAGCTGATAATGTAGCTGCCGACCGGATGGAGAAGTACCTGAAAAAGTTCGAATGCGTCCACCTGGACTCTGCCCTGACCAGAGGGAGCACCGTATGGCAGAGTGGTGCAAGAGGATATCTCGGGAATTACGGACTCTGAGACTGTTGTCTGCATCTTGTCTCCTGGTCTGTGGCAGCGAGACGGCACAAGTGGATCGTATTCGGAAGGTGTCCTGACCGAGATGTACTGGGAACCGGAACGGTCAATGGTCCGCTCTTCCTGTTTCGAAGCCCTCTGAGAGACCTCTGCTTCGATGCAGGTTCTTTCGGCCGCGACGCCATGCGACGCCCATCCTCTTGTTCCGTCCGTCTCCGTCTCGACTACCGTCTCGGATACCGCCCCACCGCCTGGGCGACTGCCACGAACATCGCATCGTGCACCAAAAACTTCGGAAGTGACTTCGTCAGGCCAGACACCGAAGCCGCAGGCCCCTGTGACAGGCGGATTCGAGAAGACTAAGTTGAGGAGGCGGCGCGATTTGGGCGGCGCCAGCCGAGAATCCCTGATCGAGGAGCTTGATGTTCGAGACGTCGGTCTGTCGTTAGAAGCAGGAAACCGGACGGCAAACTGGATGCTATCTGACCTCAGCAATGGAAAGCTGCAGCTGCGCGACATCCAACCACTGGTGGTCTTACGCTTTCCGCCGCAACGGGAGAACGCTGCCGTGTTTGGGAAGGCACATCTGAAAGCTGCACAGAAATTCTAGAAGATGACCTCCAGGAAGGTGAAGCTCCGATGTGTGGTCGTCGAAGACAAAGACGGCGCTGGCAGCGAAGCTAGTCAGAAGACCCGATGAAATGCTTGATACGCTTCCTGGCCGAGAAGCGACACTCTGAGTATGACCCAGCAGAGAACAGGTCTGCCTCAACCTGAGGAAGGTGGACGTGCTGCACATATGCCACATGCATGACAACGCGCAGAATGCATTGTCAGCACGGGGCGCACAGAGGCCAAGCGCAAGCCTTCAGACCTTGCGCCTTTGGTCATTAAAGAGTTGGCAGAACAGGAATATTGGGCTGTCTTTGGGAACAGGCGGCTGAAGCCTTGAAGGATGTCCGAGAGCCTTTTTTGGATGCCTTGCCTCGTCTGGGACAAGGGCAGTTCTCCGGCCTCTTTCGCGTGCAAGATGATTACGTCGACCACAGCGAGGATTCTAAAGGCGGCAAAGGCGGTGGATGTGGCAAGGGCGGTGGCAAGTGCTTCAGGTAGCCTACATAGTTTGGCCACGATTGGCCACGTGGTTGTTGCCCAACGATGTTTCACTATGCAATACAGTCTCATGCCTTCACGTTGTTGCTTTCCTATCGGAGGTTGTGCCGTGTGCGCAGGGAGGTAAACAGGTGATGTAGGAGGCTGTTTCGTGTGTGCTGAAGGAGACAAGGGTTGCAGCATCAGCAAGTTGAAAGACTCAACCTCAGTTCCCGAGCTTTGCAACTGTGAGCGAGGGAGGATGCTTTTCAGGGGCTCGCCGGTGGGCATGCAGTGCATGCAGGGGGACAGATGGGCTAAGGTATTGGTCAACTCCTGCAAAGGTGTTAGGACCTGTTACATTCCTCGTGCACTCAACGGGGGGAGGGGGAGGGCCAAAAAACGAGGGAGGGAACGCCAGCGAGAGCAAGAGGGTGCGGAAGACCAACGCTACTGCCTCAGGTCATCTCTGTCCGATTCCAACGCTGCGAGCTATGCCACGAGCCTGTCGACTGCCTCGGAGAATTTTGATTCATCTCTGAAGGTGCACGGGCGATGGCTGTGTGACTCACGTGAGCGAGCCCCGAAACTCCAAACCGCAACCGCACATGATGAGAAGATATGTGGCAGCTTTTTTACAAGCCCTTAATGCCCTAAACCCTACACCTTAAACCCTGCACCTTAAAGCCTCAACCCTACACCCTCAACCCTCCCTAGCGAGACTCCTAGAGGTGAATGTGGGCCTTGGTTCAGGTTCCGCTTTTGGTTGACCTCCCAAACTAGGGGGGTGCCCTTGTTCGGGATTTCCTTTGAGTAAGGATCATCATATTTCGGGGTGTAGTTGGGGGATGTTAACCCTAAACCGTCCTAAACCCTTATTTTTTGGGGGAAATACACATTTCAGGAAAACTAGAACTTCGACCATGATGTGCTACTGAGGGTGGACCCGACTTCCGAGCCACGAAACTCTCACTTCTCCCTTTTCCCTACCTGATGCACACGTGACTCAAGCCCCAAGCCCTAAGCCCTAAACCCATACCCTAAACCCTGAACCGCAAAACCCAGCCGAATGCAGGCGCTGCTTGCGGAAGTGGATCAGCTTCGCGAGGCGAAGAGACGGGGTTTTAAGGCTTAGGGTTGAGGCTTGTTGCGCGGCAGAACGTGTTTCGTCGGGATGAGGGTGGCTGCAGCGTGTAGGGTTGAAGATTAGGGTTTGGGGTTGAAGGTTTGTGGGGGGTGTGTTTCGTGGGTTTGGGGTTCCGGCATTGAGGGTCGGGGTTGGGGGTTGAGCTCTCAAAAGCTCCAGCAGCATTGCAAGCCTGGAGCCTGAACTCTAAGTCTTCAGCCCCGGGACCCAAACAAAAAACTCCTCCCGGGGATCAACAGGAGCACAACACGCTGTGCGACTGCCTGCGTGCGAAGGGCGTGTTGACCAGCCAGGACCTGTCAATCCGTGCGAGGTTCGAGGGTTTTTGGCTTTACAGTTTTTTTTTTTGTTTCGCGTTGTCGTCTTTCGATGTTCGAGTTTTTAGGTGCATCTGGAGAGGGGTTTTAGGGCCGTATAGGGTTCGCTGCCGGGGATAAGAACAACCCAAGAGCTTAAAATCCCTTGGGCCCAAAAACTCACAAAACTACCAAAGCGCCCACCCCAAACCCCCAAACAATTAAAGCCCAACCCACAATTCCCTAAAACCCCGAAACCCTGCACCCCTCAGCCCCTCAAATCCCTATCGCGCTTTGAATTAAGGGGTCTAAGGAGGGACCCCTAGAAGGGACCCTCAATCGTATTCCCCTATATAACCTCTGTATGTGCGTTACATAGTCCCTGTGTACCTAAGCCGCAAGAACCCTTAAGTATCCCTAAGGTCCCTAATAAGGGTCCCTCCTTTCGTCCCTTGAGTACCAGGACCTGGCGCACCAGAGTGCCCGGAGGCTGCGGCTTGGATCGCCTCGGAGTTCGTCGGCGTCGTGAGGTTAGACAGCGCGTAGCTTCTCCAGAGCCTACCGTGAGTAGTTGTCCCTTATGACTTATACCCCCTAGACCAGTTTCGTATTCTAGGCAGTTTAGTTTCGGGTTCATGAGTTCAGGGACTGGGACTTGGGGGGCTTCGGCAGTTTAGGGCTTGGGGAGTTTTGCGTCGAGGGTTCCGGGCGTAGGGATCGGTTGAGAGATGGAAGGTCCTTAGTCCTAAGCTCGAAGCCCTGAACTCGTGTCGCCGCGAGCTCGTTCTTAGCAGGGAATCAGGTTCCTTGTATATTCCCTGAGCACGGTGGCGAGCCTTAAATTCGAAGCTTCAAAACCTGATCCTTAGGCTCCCTCGCAGTCCCCGAACACCCTAAACCCTAAACCCTAAACCCTAAACCCTAAACCCTAAACCCTAAACCCTAAACCCTAAACCCTAAACCCTAAACCCTAAACCCTAAACCCTAAACCCTAAACCGTAAACCCTAAGCCCTAAGCCCTAAGCCCTAAACCCTAAGCCCTAAACCCTAAACCCTAAACCTTTAAACCCTAAACCTTTAAACCCTAAACCCTAAACCCTACACCCGTAACCTTTAAACCCTAAACCCTAAACCCCATGGGTTCTAAGGGAAAAGTGTCTTTTCCTCGCTGAGGCAGGCCTCGACATTTCAGAGCCTGTGCCGAAGCCCGGCTGCTGAGCCTTAGCAGAATTAGCGGAGAATTAGAAGGTTTAGGGTTTAGGGTTTAGGGTTTAGATGCAGGGGTTTCACAGTTGCCGGGGTTTGTGCAAGCAGTCTGCGGACGCTTCGGACGAAAGATTCGGACGAAGAAGATAGCAAATTGAATTAGTGGGATTGAAAGAAAGAGTGATGAAATATCAGGCGCAAGTGTCCGTGCCTGCCTTTCCTCTAGTAAACATTCCTAATGCGGTTCAGGTTTTGTTAGTTGAGAAGGTTTGGCTTTGGGGTTTCTGGGGTGTTTAGTGCCTGAGCATTTCGGCTGAAGGGTCTAATTGTAAACGCTTGCGCGCGCCGCCTCGGCAGCCGGGCCGGCCCCAGGACAGAAAAGGAGGAAAGAGGGTTTCTGGGGGGGGGGGGGGCGGGGTTTTCGTGCCTCCAAGTGATGGGGGGGTCCCACAGGGCGGGGGGGGGGGGGGGAAGGGTCGGGTTAGGGGGAAGGAGGCCTTCCCCTTAAGGGTACCCCCAACCGAAACCCCCATATGGGTGTTGGGTTTGGGGCGGCTTAGTGCTAAGGCTGACTTCCGTAATCACGTTGCCCGTGTTCACGCCAGAGCCGCTACAAGTCAGACTTTTGGTGGCCCGCTGCTACAAGGGGGGGAGAAGGTGCAGGAAAGAGGACTTGATTTCCGGTCACTTATCAGCATGTTGTTGCGCCGTGCCTTGCCGCCAAGCCGAGCAGCTGCCATTGTGGCAGCTTTCTACACACCGTGCCGCGGAGGTGCCGGACGGCTTGGCGGGGTTCCATCTCTTAGGTTGCTCGGAATGCAAGCCACCAAGTGCGCGGTCGCACCCAAGAACCAAAAGTTGGTGCAAGACATTCTGCGGTTCGGGTTGATGGATCCCGAACTCCATGCGCTCGCAAGAAAGAAGCTGGAAAGCCACAGCCAGATGGAGAGCAGGACCACGTGGGCGTTGATTGCCGGTGCTGGCTTGGCTGCAGCGATGGGGCCCTTGGTAGTGCTCAACTGCCTGGGCTTCAAGGGATCCATGATTGCCGCTGGCTCATGGGCGGCTGCGTCGCAACCGGCAGCCATTGCAAGTGGAAGTTGGTTTGCTTGGGCGCAATCAACGGCAGCCACTGGCGGACTCTTCACCAAGCTTGGCCTGGTGACATCGACTTCCACCTGGGTGGCTTTGTCCCGTTTGACCAAGCCGGCAGACATGACCGATAAGGAATTGCTGGAGACATTGGTCCAGAAAGAGCTGATTGATGACGAGGTTCGCAACCTCTTGCTCAAAAAGCTGCGGCCAACGAGACTGTGACGTGGTCATCATGTTGGCGCGGTTCAATATGTGGCATACCTTTGGCCGAAATTGCTCCAAAAGCATTTTGCAAGGTCTTCTTGTTTGCCTCTGTCTGCATCAGATCTCATTCATACTTGTGCAGGGCATTTGGAGCTTTAGCTTTGGGGGTTTCGGAACCTCCGAGCCCCAAACGGAACTTATTGCTTGTTTGCCGACAAAAGCCGAACCCAAACCTCCAACAGTCGAGGTGCGCTCGGTGGCCGAGGCACCGGGGCTTTCAGGAAAGCCGAAACATCGGATTCCCCGAAGATTTCTGGTGTGGGCTTTCGGGGTGCTTTAGGGTTTGGGGTTTAGTTACCTGACGGGTTTGGGCTGGTGGCAGCTGTGTGTTTGAGGGCTCGGAGACCGGAGGAAAGCCTGAACCCTTAAACCCTGAGCCCTACACCCTGCAACCACTTTAAAACCCCTCAACTCTGAACCAAAAACTCTGAGATTTTGATCCCTGCACCCTCAAACACCCTATACCACACACCGTAAGAACCAACAAAGATCCCAAACCCCTCCCAACAACCCTAAACTCCAAACCCTCTACCCTACAGTTACAATTTAAACCCCCAACCCTAAACCCCCAACCCTATAAACTGCCCCCAACGTGCAGGCGCTGGGCCCAAACGTCCTGGCCCTCGCCGCGGCTTCTCCGAACGCCGCCTCGGCGCCTCTAGCGCATTGGTGTTGTGGAGCTTCGGGTGTTTAGGGTGTCCTATACCGAAATTTGATAAACCCTAGAACCCTAGGCTCTAAACCCTAAGCCGAGGCAAGCAACACACGAACAGCAGGGGGGTGGGTAAGACCTAAACCCCAAACCCTAAACCCCTCAAGCGAAAAACGCCTGAACCCTAAACCCTAAACGGCATGAGGAGCGGAGGGTTGGGTGCCTGACTTTGTCATACTCCTTCGGCCCCCCTGGCCCTAAACCCTAAACCCTAAACCCTCAACCCTAAACCCTAAACCCCAAACCCTAAACCCTAAACCCCAAACCCTAAACCCTAAACCCTAAAGCCTAAATCAGCCCCATAGCCCAGGCCCGCCAGGCCCTGAGTCCCTCGGCCCCCTTGCGACGTCCCAAGAGCCGAGGCATGCAGGTCCACGTTCCTCATGCAGCCACCCGAGCAACCCGAGGTCCTTTTCTGGCTTCAGGGTTTTGGGTTTAGGGGGTTTAGGGGGTTTAGGGGGTTTAGGGGGTTTAGGGGGTTTAGGGGGTTTAGGGGGTTTAGGGGGTTTAGGGGGTTTAGGGGGTTTAGGGGGTTTAGGGGGTTTAGGGGGTTTAGGGGGTTTAGGGGGGTTAGGGGGTTTAGGGGGTTTAAGGGGTTTAGGGGGTTCAGGGGGTTTAGGGGGTTTAGGGGGTTTAGGCTGGGTCAAGGACCCTCGTTTTTTTGTTAAGGGCTTTGCGGGCTGGTGTTTCCATGGCTTTAGGGTTCCATTTGGTTTTCCTGGCGTTTCCGACACTCTCTGCGGTTCAGGGTCGAGCGCTTTAGGGAAGTGCTTTGGGAGTTCAAGGGGTTGCCCTGCTTCACTGTTAGGGGTTTTCCAGCCTTTGCGATGTTGCGGGGAAAGGGTTTGTGTGTCTCCGGAGCCACCATGCCCCGTGCGGCACTCCGTCCATCTTCTGACCTTAGAGCCCTGCTGCCCACACCCTGGTACCTTTTTGTCCACAATCTGTCCAAAGTGTTATGGCAAGCATGGTGCTGGAGTTCTCACAGAAATTTCTGGAGACTGCTGCTAGCAGCCCCAGAGAAAAAGTCCTTGGACATTTCCGGAGTCTCCTGCTAGCAGCCCCAGAAAAGAAGTCCCTGGCACTCTCAAGGGGTTTCGGGTGTAGGTGGGGTTGCCGCGAGGAGGAAGCACCCAGGCTAGCCGATGAGGAGCTGCAGTCAGAAGCAGTCGGGCTGTTCGAGGGTCCCTTTGGCTCCCTTTGCTGTAAATAAGGCTTCGGGAATCCGAGTTCGACCCGCTTATGGGCGACCTGCTTGCGGGGATGGAGGTAGGTGGACCCTGACTGCAAATCTCTCAACATAAACCTTGAACCCCGATTCTTGTAGTGCCTGGGCCCCAAGGCCCGAATGCTTGAGCCCGAAGCAGCCGAAGCGCTGCGCTCTAAACCTGAAATCTTGGACCAGCGGCTTGGGTTCATTCCATTTGGGGCGTTCAGGGTTTATGGGGTTCAGGGATATCGGGAGGCATTCAGGCAATTGGATATGTATTTCTCAGGGCGACCTTACGCACTGGCTATGCACTCTGAGTACGAGCTGAAACCGTAAACCCGAAAATTGAAGCCTCAATCCACCCCGAAACCTTAAACCCAAAACCGTAAACCCCAAACTTCAAACCTTAAACCTTAAACCCCAAAACCCTCAACCCACGCTCCACGGCAAAAGGAGGCACCGCTACCGACCGGGCGAAGTCCGGCAGGCCTAGGGTGGATACAACACCCACGAGCATCGCCTCAGCTATCCCGGTTGGTCGGTTTTAGGGTTCAGGGTTCAGGGTTTAGGGTTTAAGCTTTCTGTTGTCTCTCTGCCTCCTCCAGGGGGGAAGCCCGGGGAAGCCTATACGGGAAGCCTTGCCTGAATGTGAATGCAATCGCTCCGCAGAACTGCTGCAGCTCAAGGCCTGTGTTAAGTTCTTCCGGAGTTTGCCCCCCAGAGGACCGTCTCGGTGAGGTAGCTGGCATGGAAACGTCAAAACTTCTCTTGGACGAAAATGCTGAGGTGGAGGTTCGAACGAGGGTTGCATCCATGGGCGTCGAGGAGCTAAGGCATCTCATTCGCCAGCGTGAGCTGGAATTGGACCTTCTAAAGATGAACTTGCAGAATAAGCTCAACCCACAGATCAACATCAACGTTGTACAGGCATCCGGTCGTTCAACCTCCGTTCACGTCAGAGTCAATGCTACAATCCGGGAGTTTGCAGCGTCAGTCCGCTTGGCCCTTGGATTTGGAGGTCCAGGTAACATGGGGATCGGCTTGCTGTATGGCCAACTGTGGCTGGAAGGGTCAAAGACGGTCAAGGATTGTGGGCTCCAAGATGGAGAGACCGTAGCTGTGGTGTTGCACGGTGTGGATGTGGAGCCTGGAGTCGAAGATCTGTCCGAAGATCTGTCCGAAGATCTGTCCGAAGACGAAGCAAACGAGGACGCACTTATACGCCCCCAGCCCAACAGACAACTCCAAGCTTTCATCCGGGCGAATTTTACCCAGGGCGCATGACCAACCTGCAGCGCTTGCAGGGCATTGTGGCTCCCGACATGCATGTGTTCTGGCCTGTGGTCCGCTCACACCATCCAGCTATGACATGCCTTCAATGAGTTCAAAGAGGTATGTATCGCGGACATGGCTATGGCTGCTGATGGACGCTAGCAGAACGTAGTGGAAGCAGCTCTACGCAGAAAAGGATGGAGGTTTCTAAACGTATGTAGCCAAACATGAACTTTGATAGCTGGGGCATGCTCCAAGATGTTGCGCGTTCTTCCGACATGCCCGAACCAAGAAGCCCCATAGGGTCGGAACAATTACTAAAAATGTTCCCTTTGGTCCCTCTGTAATTATACTATAGTACCCCCCAAAACCCTATTCTAATTGCTCAGGCCCCTTTCTCACCCCCTTCACCCCCAGCAGATGCCTCCAATGATGCCTTGGTCGAGAAGGTGCCTTGTGTGCAGTTGGAGGGAAGCAGTCCGGGCTCAGGGTGTCACGGCCAGTGCCTTGTACGTCAGGGTATTGAATCGTCTTGCTTTAGAGAGGGGGGTATGCTGAGTACATGCGGCAGTATGTGGATCTCGTATATCTATTTAAATCCATAGTATATGCAGAATTCATATCATGGCGGGGTGTTCTGAAGAGTCAGTTGTTTTTTGTTTTGATCTACGGGGTTGAATTGTACTCTTCCGTCGTTTTGTAGCTGACGCTGGTTCCAGATTAGGGGTTGAGGGTCCTGGGACATATGATGGGGCTCGGGCGGAGAGAATGCAGGGTTCGGTGCGAGCTTGTCCTGCGCAGCCTTAGCATGGGCTCTAGACTAAACAGCCAAATGTCCCGTGGACCTCTAAGTTTCACTCCCGAAGGGCCCAAGCCCTCAGCCGGCAACCTTGCGTAGAAGCCTGCGTTGCAGGTTTCGGGGTGTGCCACTGTGTCGAGCAAGCCGGCGCTGTCCAGCAGGCGCCGCGAACTGGAGGGCTGGGTTTCAGCACATCATTTAGGCCCAGGGGTTCCAGGCTTTGGGGGTTCAGGGTTTTTAGGGGGCTTGACGCTCTTGGGGTGTAAGGGCAGGGCACCTGATTCTCAAAAAGAAAATGGCAGGCTCTTCGCGCGCCTGATTGGGGTGGTCTGGCGCGCTGAGGACGGGGCTCCAGCACGGCAGCCAAGCCCAGACTCCAAAGTAAGTTGACGGAATCTGCAGTTCATGAGAATGAAGCAAGCCACAATCCAGCAGGTAACCCAGACGCAAGGGGCCATCTGACCAGAGACCCAGGAAGAGACCTCCGACTGTGGGACCCTCAAACCCCCCGAGCTTCTCCGGCTGCGCAGGAGCGGGAGCGACCGGCTGTCACTCAGCTTCTGCCGGACTGGTGCCCTAAAGCCTTTAACGTCTAAGCCCTTTGCTGGGGCCTACAGGATGACCCGAGAAACCCCCAGCCTCAAACCTCAAACCGCAACTCTACACCCTAGAACCCAAACCCCAAACAGCAACTGACCCCGAGCTTTGAACTACCCCCGAAAACATCAACCCCTAAACGCCGATCTGCCGGAGAGGAGAGGTGACTCCAACTTGTCGAGACCTGACGATACTCGTATCAGCCACTAGTTCACCACCAAAAACCCTAAACCCTAAACCCTAAACCCTAAACCCTAAACCCTAAACCCTAAACCCTAAACCCGAAGATCCACAGGCGTGCTTGAGGAATTGCACCCCGGAGGCCCAAGCCGTGTAAGCTCTTCTGTATAAGCCCTACTGCAAACGCTTAAAGTTCAACATTTAGGGTTTGGGGTTTAGGGTTTAGGGTTTGGGGTTTAGGGTTTAGGGTTTCGGTTTAGGGTACAGTCACCTCCCCAGGCTGTGGAAGTAAGCCCCAAACCCGAAAGAAGACGGCGAAGACTTTTGAGGCCAGCTCTGCCATGCACCTGAAAGAGGCTGGGTTTAGGGTTTAGGATTTAGGGTTTAGGGTTTAGCCCTCCGCCCGAGTAAGGGTTTAGGGTTTCGGGTTTCGGGTTTGGGGTTTGGGGTTTGGGGTTTAGGCCTTAGGGTTTGTTTAGGGTTTAGGGTTGAGGGTTTAGGGTTAGAGTTTAGGCCTTAGGGTTTGTTTAGGGTTTAGGGTTCAGGGTTTCGGGTTTAGGGTTTCGGGTTAAAACAAATCGCATTTTTGGGAAAACGCGATCCTGATAAATAACAGTTGGGATTGCTGTTTCAACGCTGGAAGTACTGTAAATGTCGAGCAAAAAAGCATGTTTCTAAGCCTGCTCACACATCGTCCGCGGCAACACGTCCGGGCGGAGCGGGGTTTAGGGTTTAGGGTGCGGATGCTCTAGGAGTGTATGATCCTGGAGTTGACTCGCCCTGGCTTCAGTTTTGGATCAGGGCTTTGGGGCATAATAACGGGGTGCAAGGGCTCAGGGTTCTTTTGGCTGCCGAGGCAACCTTCACAAGACGACAGCGTGCAGCAACCTCCCATGAGGGTGAAACCCCCTAAACCCCAAACCCTAAGCGCTAAACCCTATACCCTAAACCCTAAACCGAAAGGCCCTGGACGTAAACCCCAGTCCTTCATCTCGGCAGGTGGTCCGAAGTCTGGGCCACCTCGCGGGCGCGACGACGGCCTTCAAGCCTTGGGCTCAGATTGCTGCAGGCTTGAAAGGCTTAGGGTTTACGGCTTGGGGTTTAGGGCTTGGGGTGGTGGAGCTCTTTGTTTTCAATATCTGTTTAGTAGCCCCTGCTCTTTCTGCAAGAAGAGCTTCAACTCCTGGGGTTCAGGGTCACTGTTTTGTTTAGCAGCACCAAGCGAGGGCAGAGTTGTCATGCCCCGAGAAGTCTCGGAAGCTTGATGACTTCCGCAAACTCATAGTCATTTGGCTGCCACGTCTGGAGAGAGTAAGCCTAAGCCCATACCCCCTTCGCCCGCTAGACACTAAGCCAGTTTGTGACACCTGGTGGCTCCAGCAACCCTCAAGATGAGAGGCTGTCGGAGCTGTGCCGATGTACCGCAGACGCGCCGATTGCCCAGACTGGAGCGTGGTCTCTGTGCTTGGCGTTTCGGGGTTTAGGGCCTGCAGTCCCACAACACCCCCAGGACCCCTAAGTACACCACCGCACAGCCCTAAATCCTTCCCACCCGCCCCAACCAGGAACCCGAAGCCCTACCCCCACAGGTTGCGGCCTGTGCTGCCCCTCATCTGTCAGGAGGCATGGTGCTACCATGGTTTCAGGGAATGGGTATATTTTAGGGTTTCGAGCTTAGAAAGTTGAGAAGGCTTAAGGCTTTCAGGTTCTCAGGTCTGGTTCGGGTTTGGGTTTGAGGCTTGGAGGGTGTCAGGGCCCAGAACTGAACTTTGGAACCCCAAAGCCCCCAATCCGCCCTAAGCCCCAAACTCACAACCCCAAAGCGTTCCCTTAAGCACGATGCCAAGCACGATGCCAAGCACGATGCCCTAGAATCAAAAGTCTGGGCTGAGAATGTTGGCGTCTTTTGATGCGTTGCGTTCTGGGACCAAGGGATGATATACGTGAGATGGCGAGATGATTTGGGTTTGGGGCGTTTTCCAAAATCTCCGGGGCGCGCGTACGAGAACATTCGATAAGTCTCTGATCAGAAAAATCGCATGTTCGACTTTGTTGCGAGCAGTTCCTGATTTCCAGGTTTTCAAACGTTGCGAAAATGAGAACTTTCGAGTTATCAACTTTCGATTTTTTGCGGCGGCGCGCTTGTTTTTGCAAGCTCCAACCAAGAACACACACGCACCAAGCACCCTCCTACACACGGACCGCACACAGTGCCTCCCAGCCCTAAACCCTTCCCAACCTTACAGAGCTATCTACGCCAGGCACCCTCCATCTATGTCTGTGGGGGCAGCTGTGGCATTGCGATGGACTCGGCGGAGCGCTTCAATCCGAGGACCCGCGGTTTCTGTTGCTGTTTAGGTTTACGACTAGGACGAGGATGGTTCGAGGATTAGCATGATTCTTCTTCTTCTTCTGCTTCTTCTTATTCTTATCCTTACGTCTATTATTGTATTGCATCCCTTTGTTAAAAGGGGCGGGGTCGGGGTTTGGGGTTTCAGTGCCTCAGGGGGTTGGCAGTTTGGTATCTGGGTGGGGAGCAACTCAGGGCCACAGAGGTCTTAAGGGCGTGTCAGTCGTTGTCAGTGGTTTTGGGAATTTTCGGGTTGTTCTTTGGGGGTGTCAGGGGTTATCGGTGAGTTGAGGAGGTTTAGTCGGGTTCAAGGGCATTTTTTTTAAAAGTCTTTGTTTCAGGGAGGTTCCAGGGGTAAGGGGTGGCCTCGGAAGTTCAGAGAGCCTCCTGCTGCCCATCCTTCGCAGGACCAAGCAGTGGGAGATGCTACCCTCCATGTGCATGCCGAGCCCCAAAATTTCAGGGAGTTCAGGGTTTCGGGTTGAGGGTTTAGGGTCCAAACCCTAGCCCCATAAACTTGAGGCCTTGAGCCTGAAGATCCCTGAGACCGTAAAGGTCCCTGGGGCTGCGGGGTCTCGGAATAATTGCGAGCAGTGTTGATTAGCGGTCCCTATCTAATTCTACCCTAATAGCCCTTAAACATCATTTTTGAATTGTTTATGTATATATTATATATATATATATATGTGTATATATATATATATATGCATATGCATATGCATATGCATATTCATATGTATAGTATATATAGATATAAGTATAATTATAAATATGAATATAAATATGAATATCAATGAAAATATGAATATAAATATAAATATAAATATAAATATAAATATAAATATAAATATAAATATAGGACATACACATCCCAAACCCTCAAAGCCTCAGCCTAAGCCCCATGAGAAGCGTGAATCTCAACCTTCATGCCTGTAAGGCCGCGGCGCGCCTGCGCTACCGCATCTGCGGGGGGAAAGCCACGGCCCAAGCTTGCAGGGTTTAGGGTTTAGGGTTTAGGGTTAGGGTTTAAAGCCCTTAACCCAAACAGGGACCTTGATTTAGAGAATCGACCGGGTAGTTTTGGGAGGGCCTAGGGTTTAGGGAGTCAGAAATCAATCTAGGCTCTGGGGTTGAGGGACTTCGGGAAGCAGGGGATGCAGTGGTTTTGGGCTTGCTCCGCGCCGCCTATGGGGAAGTGCTCACTTTTTGCGCACTTGCCTTCGGAGTCGGAAGTGCTCATTTGTTTCCCGGGGGGTCCTATCATTTCAGGGTCTACTTCGCGGGTCCCTTGTTATTCATCCTCAACCATAAGCGCTAAACAGGTTTAGGGTTTCGGGTCTATCCTACGGGGCAGTGTTATACAAGACCCCCCCAGACAGGGGCCGTATGTTGGAGAACTGATAATGGCGATTCCGAAGGGTTTTTGGTTTCGGGTTTCGGGACAACCTTGAAATGCTTCGAGTGGCCTGAAGTCCTGAATGTCTGAACAACACCCCAGCAACAATCCTCAAAAGCCCCTGAATACATCCCTGCGTGCAGCTGAGGTTCTACGTCCTCGGGGGCGTCGACGTGCCACGCTTTGGTAGCTTGGAAGAGCGGGCGCCCCATGGGCGATCAGATGAATAAGGAGAAAGTAGATTTTAAAGTCCCACAACGATGTTTGCACACCCTCGCTCCTTCCTCGACTTGTTCGCCGAGGTCCCAGCAGGAGTGGATGTTTCAGGACTGGTTTGGGAGTCTTCTGGGTGGCTTAGGCTTCAGGGCTGGCAGGTGTTGGACTTTAGGGGGGTTTCTGTTGGCTGCGTTTCTTTTGGCCGTGCTACTGCAGTGCTGTGGTCCAGGGGGCAAAGCCGAGCACCTACACCCCCCATACCCCAAGCCAGCGTTCGCAGCCCAGCTGGTGAGAAACGACCCTCACTTGAACAGATTTGGTGCATGACGGCACTCTTTTCGTTCCACTCGTTCTCGGCGAACCTGTCATGAACACAATCTGTCTGAATGGTTCCAGTCTAATCTGCAATGAAGTCAAATGAGCAAAAACTTAGACAACTAAAGCAGAAGCCGCATCGCCCTAAATCACAGGTACAACTCACTGTAAGCGCCGACTCAGCCCTTGTCTTCCAGGACAAATACAGCCCAGAATGCTTTGATCCCGTCTTGAATCAGCCCCTGGGCAGCAGAGACGAGGGAGGGTTCAAGCAGGATTGGACCCTATATCCTAAGGTTCCATGAGACAGCAGTAAAAGTTGGATTCCGGGATTCGGGCATGTGTTCGGCATAGCGTCTGACCCTTCCACCCTCAACCCCAAGCCCTCAACCAGTAAACCTTAAACCTTCAACCCCCACACCCGAAGCCCGAAACAATAGACCCTGAGCCCGCATCCTTCGACCCCGAAGCTGAGTCTTTGGATGCTAGGAAACGTGTATGGAGCCAAAGCTCTAGACCCATCTCAGGTTGCCTTGGGTCCTTTGTTGTGGCATGTTCTGTGTTTGGGTTCCACAAAGTTCATCACTGAGAGCGTGCAAAGCCTTCATTGGCGTCTCTTTTTGAGGCCTTATTGACATGGGATTTGGCTTGCAGAAGTGGCTACTTCGACACCGCAGGTGGGAGTTGCTACCGCCGATGAATCGGCCCTACACGCATGCCCGGGCCTCAAGCCGCAGCGGAGGTTGAGGGGTCGGTGGGGAGCTCGGGAGCTCTGAAACTTCGGCTTGGGGGTCTTGAGGTCTTTAGATGTGAGGTTTTTGGGAAACTTCACTTGCGTCTGGGGCAAGGCGCGCCGCGACCCACGCAACAACAGAGACACCCAGTAAGGCATGTACACCGTAAGCCCCGTACCCTCATGGCCTTAAGCCCCAAAGCCCTACCTGACTTTCAATGTGAAACGCGAAAACCTGCATCCCCTGCGGCTTCGGACGCCGTTGAGAACTCGTCTTGGGGCCTCCACCCCAACCTCTTCTTAGAGAAGCGACCCCTCAGGCAACATTCAGGTACTGCCTCTGAGGCTCAGGACCCCTAAGGCCCCTGAAGAACAGGCAGCCGCTACTGCCCTGGGCAGCTTCATCTACGTGTTCGGGGGCCTAAGCTTCGGCCACGTCCTGGACCAGGCGGTGTTGGGGGGGAGGTGCCTGAGTACACGTCTTCTTATGGCACCCCCATTGGCACCCCCAAAGGCATTCGGTCCCCTGATAGCCTACCCTCCAACCCCCGAACCCCAACTCCCAAAATCGTCCAAAATCCTCCAACCCGAAACCCTGAAGCAAAGCCCCGCCCAACCCTAAACCCTCAATCCTCCAACCCCCTCAACCTTGAAACCCTGAAACCTCCAAAGCTCCCAAGAGTCGCCAGGCACAGCGCTTCGACCCAGTCAAGCGGCAGTGGGAGTGCAGGGAGGCCTAGGCTTTCGGGTTTAGGACCCAAACCCTAACCCCCCCCAAACACGCAACCCCCCCCTCCTTTCCCCTGAACCTCTGAAATGATAAAGCCAAGGCTTGGAACCCATGCCCACGCCTCGCTTCGAATGCCGGGAGCCCGGAGCTGGAGGAAGCAGTTGAATTGTGTGGGTTCGGCTTTTGAAAACTTTGGGTTTTGAGTTGGGGTCCGAGTCTAGGCTTCTTGGTGCGACAGCTTGCTGCATGGGAATGAAGAGCCATCGAGAAGAGGGGGAAATTGGGTTTAGGATTGTAGGGCAGTTCGAAAGGATGAGGGTTCAGGCTCAGGCCTTTTTCAATCGCGTTTGTGCAGAAGGGATCTTGCACTTCAACTTTCAGCGTTTACGGCACCCATGTCCGAGGGCCCACCTCGGGTTCAGGGTTTAGGAGCTTCGTGCACCTCCATGACATCTCAAGCAGCCTGGAGCTGGGGCCCCCGGAGCCGTGTCTCCCCCATATTTTTTCATTTTTGCTACCCTTGATCCCCTATGTAATCCTGATCAAGCGATGAGCATTAACTTTTCATAGGGCCCCCCAAACCTACCCCAAGCCCAACCGAGGCACCGCCGTGGCGAGCAAGGGGCGAATCTACGCCCGGGGCCCGATTTGGTCATCAGGGTGTGTGAGGCAAAGGCCCACGCCTTGCAACCCGCTATGCCGAATCACAGCAGTGCTGGTGATCCCTAAAAACCCTAAAACCTCGAACCCTCCCACCTCAGGTGCTTGGAGGCTCGAACATCTGTGGTGAGCCCCTGGGCGTGGTCGAGTGCCATGGCCCGAGAAACTGCTGGGCTCAGAGACACCCGGCCCTAGCCACCTTCAACCCCTAAATTTGAAGCCGTCCTACACACGAAGCTCCGGTCTTAAGGCATGTTTTAAGGCCGGTAGGTTTAGGGCTGCTGAGGGGTCGAGGGCTCAGGGGCTTCAGCGCTAGCGCTGGGGGGACTCTGCGGCCTCTGGCCGCCTGAGAACCCCGGCGCAGTCTTGGAGCTTCAAGAACTTTTGAGGGACCTGAAGCCTGTCAGCCCTACCTGAGATTCTGGAGCCGAATCCAGGTTTTCAGCGTTTTCGGACATCATTCTGTTTTTGTTATTCAAGTGGGTTGGGTTTTGGTTCTGGAAGTTTGTTTGAGTAGGGCTTTGGGGCTTTGGGTGCCAGAGCCACCCCCCCGCACACACCCCCCTGCCCCCCCACCCCAAGCCCCGAACTCCTTGGCCTCGAGGCTATGAGCCGGCCTGTGGGCAGTGGAAGCACCTCCCTGACATGCGCCAGGCCAAGCCCATCACCGGGTTTTAGGGTTATGCCACCAGGGTAGCGGCTTTGGCCCAACTCCTGAACCCTAAGCCCAAAGAGAGCCTGAAGCCCTAAACCCAGAGCGCAAACCCAAGCCCCACCCCGAAAAGAACACCCACCCAAGCCAAGATAACCTCAAACACGACCGTCAGACAACGAACCCGCCCCGCATTGGCCGGCAAACGACATACAAACCCTAAACATCCCCTAAGCTCGAAAGCCCCAAAGCCCAAACTCTCTGTTTTCCCGTGCAGGCCCGGTATGGCTGTGCTGCTGCTTCTCTCCAAGGCAGTCCCGAGCTTCCATGGCCCTGGAAACATGGCTTCGGTCATAGGGTTTTGGGTTTCGGGTTAGGGCTTCCGCGGTTTGGGCTTAGGGCTTAGGCTTGGGTGAGCAATCTAGGATGCCGCGAGACACCGCACTCTAAACCCCAATTCCAAACCCGAAACCAAACCCTAATCAGCCTAATCAGCCTTCGACACTTTTGGTGCCTGGGTCGGGTTCCTTCGCTGTTGACTCTTCTCTTGTTGTATTTTGCAAAGTTGAGGGTGGACGTTTGGGGGTGGCTTAGGGTTAGACGCTTCCAGGTTCAGCCCTGGGCTCTGTTCCCACGTCGGCCGCGCAAGCCATTTTGGCCAGGACTTGGCGGGAATAGCCGTCGCTTAACATGCCCACCACACCCCTCCCCCCTCCGCTACCCCAAGCTTCTACACGCAGCAGGTAGGGTCCCCAAAAAAACTTGAACTAAATCCCTGAAACCCCAAACCCCAAACTTCTTGCCTGCCAGCAGGTATGGTCTACATCTTTGGCGGCCACGGCTTCTGGGTCCCGGCCTGAAAGAGCATGTCCTCCCTTTTTCAGACTGTAGGTTCGCTTTTCTGTTCAGGCCTTCAGGAGTCAAGGTTGAAGTTTCTTGAATCACTCCACCCCACCCCCCAAGAAAAAACACCTAAACACCCTAAACACAATCCCCCCCCTAAACCCCCTCAACCCCCCCCAAAACTCTCCTAAACTGCCCAGGAGAACTTGAACGACGCGGAGTGCTTCGACATCGAGTCCGAGAGGCCTGAGTTGGCCCCCAGGAACCTTTGAACCAGGGCCTGTGTGTGTAGGGCCTCCTGGGAGCTCCTAGGGTTTAGAGGGGAATGCAGGGGCTTGTAGGGATTATCAACAGGGGGGGTTGATGGCCTTATGTAAGATTTTGTAGTCACCTCCTCATTTGTCCCTGAGCCCGCTACTTTCAACCTGAACTTCAAGCCCTTCATGCTTGAGTTTGTAAGTGTCCCGAAGCCCTGAACTCCATGGCGGTGGCCAGGTGGTATCCCCTGCCGCCCTTGCCTGCGCCAAGAACTCACTGCGGCCACGACCTTGGGGAGGGTGTTCTGTTTTGAGCTTTCTGTGCGAATTTGAGGTTGCGATGGCGAAGGGGGCAAGGGGACGGGAGGAGGGGGACGGGAGGAGGGGGAGGGGAGGAGGGGAGACGGGGAGTTGCTCTGAATTAGGGGTGCTTTTGAACAGGTTCTGATACCCTAATCCAGGTCAGGATTTCTTTTTGAGTGGTGCCTCGTGTTCCTTCGTTTGAGTGGTACCCTTTTCCCTTTTTGAGGGATTAGGTTCCGCTTCTCGTAGTAGCACCATCACACAAAGCAGGGCTTTCCTTTTGTGAACACGTTCTGGTTGCATTCGGAAGGACGTAGGTGTTTAAATCACGGGGTTGCATTTGGAGGTGTTGAAGGGTTTCGGGTTTGGGGTTACTCCTTCCTCATGCTAAACCCTGCCCCCAAAATCTTGACGCGTTGACACCCAAATCATGACCCCAAACCCTAAACCCTAAACCCTATAAACCCTCAACCCTAAACCCTAAACCCTAACCCTAAACCCTAAGCCCCCCAAGCCTGAGCCCTAAACCCTAAACCCCCAAGGCGCCGCGGTGGCCAGCGGGGCGATCTATGTCTTCGGGGGCCACACGAATGGACAGGACCCGGCCTGAAGCTTGCTTAGACGGAGTAGCCCCTTATTTCCTTTTGCGAGGGTTGGGGCTCCCTTATATTCCCCTTAAAACCAAAAGGGGCACCCTTGCTATTTCTAGGTTGCTCCTGGGTCTAGTAGAATCATGGCGGCCACGGGAAAGCTGCGATCACTTGGGCATTTCCCAACAGACGGGTACCTTTAATACAAGTTAAGATACCATCATCCTGTTCATGGGGCCATGTGGGTCCCCTCTTTTGGGAAAAAGCACGCCCGCTCGAGTTCACAGTGCAGGGTTTAGGGCTTAGGTTGTTGATTGAGTTGAGGGTTTCTGGGCTTGGGTTGAGGGCTTAGGACAGGACATCGGGGCCATTTGTAATCTTCATCTCAGAGTGAACATGCAAGCCATCTTGCGGGCAGGATATTCTCACCATCGACTGCCTAGATCCCGAGTCTGGCTGTTGGCAGGCGCAGCAACCCTTCAGACTCCCGAGCGTCCATTAGTTCATACTATTATTTAAGCATAAAGATGCGGAGAGTTAGAGTAGTGGTAGTAGCAGTAGTAACACGAGTAAAGAACGATAGTAGCAATCAGAATGGCCTGAAAAGCATCAAAACAAAATACTCATAATCAGAACAACGCTTATGGCGATAATCTCGCAAAGCCTGAAGCCCTCAGCTGTTCCAAGTGTCTTGGGTGTCCTTCAAAGCTTCCAAAAGTTCTCAAGCCTCCCAACACTAAACGACAATCCTCAACCCAAAGTGGGCCTGACCTCTAAGCGCGAAGGCCCGGGTGGAGGGCTGGGGGGTGCAGGGCTTAGGTCTTGCTTGTAGGGCTTAAGGATAACCCAAGCCCAAGACCCTCAGGAGGGTGCAGGGGTTGCAGCTTTGGAACTGAGGGTTTGGAGGGTCTCGCAACATTCCCTGCGTCAGCCTGCGGCTGCAGGGTTAGTTTAGGGATATGAGTAGGCCTCTGGCAAGGACAAAGCTCGAGCCTAAGCCCTGAACACTGAGCCCTTGGACCCGAAACCCTGAGGCAAACCATCCTGCATCCCCTGCGGCCTCCAGGTCGTTGCTCACATGCTGAAGCCACGCAGCCACTGCCTGACCGTCACAGTCCAGGCGTAGCCCACGCGCGGGGGCTGCGCAAGCCTGGATGCCTTTCTCCAGTTTTCTCAAAGACCCTAAACCCACACCCGCAAAGGATTTCGGGCTTCAGGGTTGGGGCTTCTTCAAGGTGTTGGGGCTTGGGGGCTTGGAGGTCTTAGTTTTGGGGTATACGCTTCTTCAAGGGCCCATAATCTAGAGAGTCCCCAAACCCCAGACCTAAACCCTAAACCATAAACCCTAAACCCGAAACCCTAAAACCCTAAACCCTAAACCCTAAACCCTACACCCTAGACCCTAAACCCTAAATCCTAAACCCTAAGAGAGATCGGTGCGGCCGGCGAGTCGGCCCGGCATGCGGTGGTAGACTGAAGCAAGGCAAGGAACTGGCATCAATTGGGTAGTTTAGGGTTTAGGGTTTAGGGTTTAGGGCTGAGGGCTGAGGGCTGAGGGCTCAGGGCTGAGGGTAGATGATCTTATGGCAGGCGTTTGCTGTAGGAGTGTTGAGGTTCACAGCATAGGGCTTTCACGAGTGGCTGAAGCCGAGTAGGGGGGGGGGGGGGTCAGGGCAAGAAAGTTCATTCGGTTTGGGTTCGGTTTAGGGTTTATATGTGGTTTTGTAGTATGCCTTCAACTCCATCCTTTCCTGGTGGCATGGGTTCTGACGCCTGGGGTGCCTTGCGTCTGTTCCGAGTGTTTAGAGATGATTGAGTTTGTGTTTGGGGCCAACCAGCCCCGTGCTGGCTGGCGTTTGGGGCCAACCAGCCCCGTGCTGTTTGGCGTCCCACAGAGGACTGCCGCCCTCGGCTGCATTGGATGGAAGCCCTTCGGCCACTTGATACGGTTTCCAGGCAAAAGGCTGGGTTGAGGGATGTCTAGCAGATTTGGTGCGCCAAGCATCTCAGCAAGCAATGCAAACGCCCTCCACACGGCCCTAAGACTGAGTATTCCCAAGGTTAAGTCCCATGTCCTGAAGCCCCCTTGCCCCTGAACTGAACCCCTATACTGCAAAAGCACGAGACCCTAAACCACTTGTTGTGACTAGCCCTGCTTTCCCGGCCCCGGAGCTTTGATCCACCTGGACAATCGCAGGGTTGTCGTAACTGGGCCCTTGCTCCAGTTACACTGCGCGAAGCTTGCAGTGGCTGGTCGCAATGCGCACCCCCGTGCTGCAGCCGAACGGTCTGGAGATTTCGCTGCAATGCCAGCCTTGGCCCAGCGTACTCGAAACCCGAGCGGCCTGGCAAGGCAGGACTCCGTAAAGCCATTAAAAAGAAAACAGCGAGGCAGAGTGATATGGCTTGGGGGTGAGACCCGAACCCTAAAATCGACAGGGTGATCGTCGAAGCCCAGGTGAAGACTAAGGCCCAGGGCCTCGCATGCATGCTCCTCGCCCTGTGAAGTTGTAAAGCATCTCTGATCCCAAAGGCCTGTACCCAAGTTCTGCCGGGCCTGTTTCGCCAGAGCTGATCTTCAACATTCACCGCCGAAATCCCTGGAGCTATTTCAGGTGGGGGGCTTTAACCGGGGGGGGGGAAGAAGGCATCTAGCATGGGCATGCCTTCAACCTCTTTTGCCTGTGCAGGGTTTCGGAGATGCGCGTTGAGGGTTCGCAATTGCCGACTCGAAATTGCTGAGACCAAAGGCGGCCGTCTCATTGGCCAAGCCTGCACGAGTTGCGAGCCATGGCCTATGCGGGACTATACACGAAGAAAGGGTTCAGGCTTTTGGACTAGCTGCAGAGATGATTATTGAGGCAGCATCCGACCAAACGCCCCAACTCTCAGCAACCACGGCATGAACATGTCTGGGTCGAGGGCTCTAGCGCCATGACTGTACACCTCAAGCTTTTGTACCTCTAGAACTCGGCACGCCCTCCCATCCAGCCATGGAGTAAACCACCATCTCTGCGCGGGTTAGAATAACTCATGAAACTCCTGATTTACGCAATATTCCTCAGATTAGATGAAGGATTTCTAAACAGTTTAGGGTATATACCTTAGGGAGCATAACCAAGGCTACCCTAGAGGGCCCAAAAGGGCATGCAACCAATTGAGGGAAGCGACCGCATGACTTAGAAATATGTCGAAAGCGTGACCAGGGGTTTCCGTAGAAACCCGCGCCTTCGAAACTTGCACCCAACAGCTCTGAACTGAACCCTAAACCCTATACACCCTATAATTACACCCTAAACCCCCTAGACCCCCCTAAACCCCCTAAACCCCCTAAATCCCCTAAACCCCCTAAACCCCCTAAACCCCCTGAACCCCCCAAACCCCCTAAACCCCCTAAACCCCCTAAACCCCCTAAACCCCCTAAACCCCTAAACCCTAAACTTAAACCCTAAACCCTGTTCCGCAAGCCGTGGCGCGCAAGAACCGTCAGTCCTGAACTTTTTCAAAGTACGATTTAATAGGGATTTAAGTCGGGTTTTGGGGTTTTAGGGTTTCGGGGTTGTAGGGTTTTAAGGTTTAGTTTCTGACTGAGGGTTGTGAGGGCTTGTAAATACCATGTAGGTGCTCCGAGGGTTCTTTCAGGGTTTTTTGCAAGGGGAGGAGGGTTCTTCGGGTTATTACTGTTCTAGGGTTAGGTTATTGGGGTAGTTGGTTCGAGGTGTCGGGTCCGGTGTACTTCTTTGGGTGCTCGAGGGTGTCTCCTGTCTTCGAAGCTCCATGATTCCAAATTATTCTGTACATACATGCGTACACGGGGTTGCTCAACAGCATGGTCCAGTAGCCAAGTCGCCGGGAGGCGGATTTAGGGTCCTTAAACCCTCAGCCCTCGACCTGGAAGCCTGAACCCAGACGCTGAACTCTGCTGTTGAGCAATCCTTTCGGTCTCACCTCCTGGGCGTGACTGCCAGTGGAGCAGAGGGGGCGGAGAGGAAACCCTTGCCGCGGGCTCCGAGGGAAAAAGGCGCTACAAGGAGCAGTTGGGGACATTTAGGGTTGAAAGTTTGTAGAGCGATTTTTGGAGTCAGGGGGAAGGGTTTAGGGTTAAGGGTTTAGGGTTTAGCGATCAGAGTTTAGGGCTTAGGGATGTTTTGGGGCTTAGCCCTAGTGGTTTAGTGTTCAGGTTTTCACTCAGGATGGGCACAATGTCATGCTGCCAGTCTTCACATGCCTTGGATTTCGATTCCGCCTGGGCTCATTGGGTGGGGCCGCGTGGCATCTGGGCGTCGGCCAGTCAACAGCGTTGAAGCACCTCTTCTCAAGAAGGAGTCAGAGAAGGATGCGGTGCTGTTCAGAGGGCCTGTCAATCCTGGGGGCATGGCCGTTAAAAGCCCCTTATCCTGGAAACCTAAAACCTTTGAAAAGCTTGGCCTGAGCTGTGGGCCTGCTTTGCCGGGCTTTTCTGGGGCCTGTGATGTATGATCAGTTATTGATGCTCTCGATGCCATCAAGGACTCTGTCTTGTGGAACCCAAATGGTAGGACCTGCTTGGGTTGCTGTTAAGGGGCCCAAAATTTCCATAAACATGGATATATAATGATATATATATATATATATATATCCTAGACAGTATGGTGTTCCCTTCTTGTGGCAGCTTGGGTCAAAACAACCAGCAACCCAGTGCACCCTGACCCAAGGGGCTCGGTCGGTGGATGCTGCTCAGGTGAGATCGCGCACGAGCAGCCATGCGAGCAGTGTCCTTTGCTTTGAGGAATGGAGGCCCCGACCATGAGGGGATGCTCTCTTGACCTGACACCCCATAAAAAGTCCTATGTTCAACCCTAACTGTCCCAAACCCGGAGCACTAAAACCCTGAACTCCGTAGACTCTGAACTTGACCGCCGCGCTCGCCAGGCGCCGTGGCCCGCCTGAGGGCCGCCGTGGCGCCCGCCAGGGGACTCGGGGTTCGGCACGGCAGTTGTGCGGGTTCAGGAAGCCCTATGCCTGCTTCGTGCCCCTTAACCCGAAGGAGCCCTCCACCCTTTTTTAAGGGTTTAGGGCTTGAGGGTATTGAAAACGGCCTGAGACGACTTTCTCCCCGGATCCTCCCAGATTCCCAAAGCTCCATGCCCATCCAGGTCGCGAGGACTTTACACTGAACGTAATGTGTCAAAAACAGTTCGTGTCTAAACCCCATACCCTACCCCCCGAAACCCTAGACCCTATACCCTTAACCCTAAACCCTAAACCCTATAACCCTAAACCCTATACCCTTAACCCTAAACCACTCTTGAGCGGAACGAGGTCCGGCACTTCGCGGCCTACTCCCCGGAGGTCGTCGGCTCGGCCGGCACGGCGGAGTACCGCATGCACTTCAAGGCCTGGAGTGGGGTTTAGGGTTTAGGGTTGAGGGTTTAGGGTTGAGGGTTTAGGGTTGAGGGTTTAGGGTTGAGGGTTTAGGGTTGAGGGTTAGGGTTTAGGGTTCAGGGTTCCAGGTTTTGTTGGGGTGTAAGGCTGGGGCTTGAGGGTCTCAGGGTTCGGGGATTTGGGTGGGGGGGGGGGGGGGGGGGGGGGGGGGGTGGGGCATTCGGGGTTTGGGGTCTTGTCCGGCTTAGGACTTTAGGATTCTGGCCTTAAGGTTCAGGTGTCAAAGTTTCTGGGCTTGGGGTCCATGTGTGAAAGTCGAAGAGAGCACTCAAAGTGGGCCCTCTCATTCCTTTTTTGAAGGCTTAAGTTCCCTCAGCTCCTCTCAAACGGAGAAGCACACCCTTTTGCTCCCAGAGTCCGCGGCCGCTTGAGTTCAGCAACATATTTCTCCAAAATTCTCGGGCGCGAGATTCTGAACAGCGTCCTTTTTCAAGGAGCCATAAGGAGCTCCCAGAGAAGTCGGTCTAAATGGTACCCTTTCTTGGGCCCTAAACCCTAAACCTTAAACCCTAAACCCTAACCTTCATTGTGGCAAGGCCAGAGCCCTCCTCGCCTCCCCTCAAGCTCTCAAGGAACCCTAAACCCTAAACCCTAAACCCTAAACCCTAAACCCTAAACCCTAAACCCTAAACCCTAAACCCTAAACCCTAAACCCTAAACCCTAAACCCTAAACCCTAAACCCTAAACCCTAAACCCCGTTGTAGGGTTCCCCGACATGGCGAGGACAGCAATGGCAACAAGATCTCGCCATGGCACGACATCCCGCTGAAGAGCGGCGAGGCCAAGTCCTGGCTTCGATCGGATCCTGGGGGCACCCCCGAACCCCAGCCCCCCCCCCCCCCCCGCCACTGCCAGCTCTGGGGTTTGGGGTTTGGGGTTTGGGTTTGGGTTTGGGGTTCAGCGCGCGGGGTTTAAGGTTTAGGGATGATAGACTTGGAGTTTGGGCTCTGCATGTTTTTATGGCTCGAGCCTGGGAGAGTTGAGGAGGTCATCTGGAAGGGATTTCGAGGGTTTTGGGGGGCGAACCTACCTTAACTAGGATGCCCAGTGTTGCCTTCATTCTCTCTCCTCTCGCTCCCTCCCCCTCCTCTCCCCCTCCCTGCCTCCCTCGCTCGCTGTCTCCGTCTCCGTCTCCGTCTCTGTCTCTGTCTATGTCTATGTCTCTCTCTCTCTCTCTCTCTATCTCTGTCCTTCGTGTTAGGATCCGTTTGAGCAGGAAAGTCTCGTTCCTACAATACGGCCAAGCCCAAGCAGCCAAGCCAAACAACCCGCGGCAGCTCTTCAACTGCCTCATCGAGATCCCCAAGAACACCAAGCCCAAGATGGAGGCCGCCATGTAGGGTTTAGGGTTTCGGGTTTAGGGTTTAGGGTGCCTGGGTCCTTTTTGTAGACTTAAGCGCCCGAACCTTTACCAAAATTGAGAGGGTTATTTCTCTGTGGGTCGGGGTTAGGTTCGGTTCCACTTTAAACCTCACCGAGCCAAACAAACATGTGTGCCCTCTTCAACCCGTCTGTTTATTCCCGGGCTGCTGGGCATCCTAGACACAAGAAGGCCTTGCTACTGAGACCGAGGTGTTGGCCTCTGTCCCTCCAAGCAGCTTGCACCCTTCGAAATGAACTCTAGTCCAAAAACCATAACAGTTCTCCAACCCATGGTCCCTGTGCACATTGCCTAAACCCTAAACCCCCCTAAGCCCAAAACCCTAGGCTCTGTGGCTCTTCGACCCTTAGGCCCCAAATCCCGAACTCTCCCGAGGTCGCCGTCAAGGAGGAGATGAACCCCATCGCGCAGGACGTGAAGAAAGGCCTCTGCAAGGGATTTTGCGGCTGCTTTGGGTGGCTTTGGGAGGTTTTGGGGGGGGCTTGTGTTGGGTCGTCAAGGGCTTTCCAGGCTTTTGGGGTTAACTAGGGGTTACAGGACAACCTTGGTACCCTACCCTTGGGATAATCGGGTCTGGGGCTACATAAGGGCTGGGCCCATACTAAACCGGCCTAAACTCTAACCCTGAACCATAACCCTAAAACCCTAACCCTAGACTCTGACCTTAAACCCTAACCCTAAACCCTAAACCCTGTCTTAAAAGGAATGTAAAGGGGGGCACTTCAGGCAAGCTGCGCGACTACCATGGACCCATCTTCTGGAACTATGGCATGCTTCCGCAAACCTGGGAGGCCTCTCTTTTTGGTGGTTGGGGGGGGGGGGGGTGGGTGGTGGTGGAGAACGGGGGAGGGTTTAGGGTTTAGGGTTTAGGGTTTGGGGTTTAGGGTTTAGAGGGTGTTTCTTGAGCGATTTCTTGATTGGGGTTCCTCAGGGCTCTTCGGGGGGCGTAGCTTGGGGCTTCTTAGATTTAGGCTTCTTATTGCACATAGGCCGCAACAACTTGAAGGACTCATGCTTTCCATCCCGGTGCATTTTCTTCACGTTATCTTCCTATGTGCAGTGGTTGAGGTTTTGGAGCTCCAGTTCTTCTTCGTCTTGGTTCGGGTACCTTGGGTTCTTTGCTTTGAGGGTTGAACCCTAAACGCTAAAAGGCCTAAGCCCGAAACCGTACACCCTAAACCCCAAAAGACCGTGCCTCATCCAACCTTCTTTTTGACCCCGTCTGAGGGAAGTCTGCATGTTTGAGGAGAGAATGCGGAGAGGCTGTATCTGTCCACCCAGCATCCAAAACGCCGAAGTCTCGGGTTTGGGGTCCTGTAACGCCCGAGACAGATATAGCCTACCCCGGTATTCCCAGTGCCCAGGACCCCAACGTCACCCACAAAGAGACGAACTGCGCCGGTGACAACGCCCCGCTCCCAAGCAGCCTCTGCTCGCCAGTGCAACGAGTCTTTCGAGTCTTCACAGTCACAGGATTCGAGAGCAATGGTTGACTGTTGGTACACAAGCAAAGTGGGTTCGAGGGCTTCGGTCGTGGAGTCGGAAGTCGCGTTAGGCTCGTAGAAGCCCAGAAGCGTCGAATTCACTCTGCATGCGCTCTGGCGGTGGCTCTGTCTGAGCCTCTCTGGCAGGAATCCCCAGGTCCTATAGAAAAGGTTGCGAAATTCGGGAGTAGGAGCGGTACAGTCCTAAACCTTCAACCCAGACCCCAAACCCTCAGGCGCCAACGTCTCATCGGGCATTTCCGAAAATACCGCGCACCCTTCATATCCCCCAAGATGAATATCAGCCTCATGATCCATCCGAACCCCAAAGCCCTACCCCTAAACCCAAAACCCTAAACCCTAAGCCCTAAACCCTAAACCCTAAACCCTAAACCCTAAACCCGAAACCCGAAACCCGAAACCCGAAACCCGAAACCCGAAACCCGAAAACCCGAAAACCCGAAGACCCTAGACCCTAGACCCTAGACCCTAAACCCTAAACCCTAAACCCTACACCCACTGCCACAAAAATCCCGAGGTTGCCTAGGTTGACCACTCCCACTGCGCAGAATTGTCCTACGCAGGATCCGGTGGACATCGTGGAGATCGGCTCTGAGGCCTCCTCTCCGAAAGATCGAGGGTTCACTAGGGTTTAGGGTTTAGGGTTTTAGGGTTCAGGGTTTAGGGTTTAGGGTTTAGGGCTAGGGGTTTGGGGGGAAGAATGTTGTAGAAAGATGCATGTTCATCGACATGTCCCTCTCGGCGCATTGTTGTTGTTGACTTTTGTCTTCATGTTCTTGAAAACGTTTCTTTCACGTAAGGGGTACGCCTTGGGATCAACTTGAAGTTGAGAGTCTTTGAAATGTGAAAGCTCTAAGGGCCCATCTCGGCTGCTGCGCAGGGAGCCGGACCCCAGCCCAAGCCCTCGGAAGGCCTAAGTTTAAGAGCCTCCGGCTCAGGCCACCTCGCAGGCAGACAATGGACACCAGCTCGCGATGTTCGCTCACGGACAAACAGGAACGGGCTGGGAGAGGAGCGGAGCACCATCAAATGGGAGCAGGAGGAAAACGACCCTCTGCTGATGTTGGCCAGACGCGCGCGGCAGGGCAGCCAGGAGTGTCCCAAGGGGGGTCGCAGGGTCCCAGGCAGGTTTCATTGGAGAAAGGGAAGAACCTTAGTTGGGCTCGCAAGTATAGGTACCTTAATCGTTGAACTACCCATGACCCATGAGCCGTTCAGTGCATCAGCAGGCTCAGGGCTTAGGGTTCAAGGAATCCTCAACAGTTTCCACGAAGGTTTCGTGCCATTCATGCTGCAAGCTGCGGGGGCGGCTGTGAATCGGTCTTGCGCTTGCACATGGTTTGCTGCGACGATGCCGGACTTTCTCATTCAAGGAGAATATCCGGTATACCAAGGTGTCTGGCAGCCTGGCAATGTCGTTCGCAAAGGCGCCGCGCTTCCGCAAAGGACACGCTCCCGCGCTTGGCCCTGGGCGGTACCAGCCCAAATTCACGAGCCTTTCAGGCGGTCCGAGCCACACCTTCCGGCTTTCCGAAGCTGTAGCTCGGACCACCTGACAGGCTCGTGAATTTGGGCTGCGAAGAGCACACCAAGGGCCACAGAGCTTCCCAAGTTGCACGAAGCCCAGCTGAAGCTTGTGGCAGAGCTTGGCCGCGGTGGGCTTGCCACCGTGCACAGAGCACGCTTCTGCGGCGAGGAATTGGCTGTCAAACTTTTCCGTTGTCAGCCTGGGCTGGAAACCCCGAGCAGGACCGCAAAGGCCTTCACAAAGAGGCTTTGCTCCTCGCCAGCCCACCAGCCCGCTGTGGAGGTGGAGCCAACCACCTTGAGCGCCTTCACGAAGAGGCTTTGCTACTCGCCAACCTTCCTTAGGCTGGCGAGGAGCAAAGCCTCTTCGTGAAGGCGTTTTTGGGCTGAAAACATGCTGGGGCGCTGCGCTGAGCGCTCAAGGTGGTTGGCTCTATGTCCACAGCGGGCTGGCGGGCTGCAACAAGCTTCAGACATCCACCCTCTGCGTGCTTCCGGCGGGATGACGGAGCACGTCGCAAGGACCTGGCGTCCAAGATGGTCATGGACGTTGGTAGCACCCCGCTGAAAATGGCACAGCGGCTGCTGTTCGATGCGATGGTGACAGACGGTGTGATCCTTTCAGGGGCCGACGCTGATTGGAGTGCCGTGAACTGGTACAACCAACGTGGTGCAAACACATTGCCTATATCGTCCTCGTCTCCTACATCTACAGACATCTACCTTCATTCGGACATGAGCAGCTGGACGATTGACACAGTTTCCTTGCTGAAGTCTTTTGCCGACTCGTTACTGGCAGTCACGGTCAAAAGCTGCTCGCAGAGTATTCCGTCAATCCCGCCTTGGCCAAGAGCGAACACTTGGCCGTGGTCGCCCATGAGTTGGAAGTGGCCAACCAAGCCTCGGAGGTGCGAGTGCTTTGCGCTGGAGGCTCACTTGGACGACTTTGGTGTGGTCCCGTTGCACGACAGTGGCACCGCCAACCGAGCGGTGGGCAGCAGTGTCAAGACCGCGCTGTGGGGAAAAAGGGAGGTTCTCACCTCTGAAGCCCATGCCACACGTCGCAAGCTCGGCGGACCCTCATTTAAACCTTGAAACCCCCAACCCCTAAGCCTTCCGAAATCCTTCAACCCATAAACCCCCCAAGCCCTCGATCAAGAAC